ATACATATTGCCCTGTGGACTCAAAAGTCCAATCCGGCACTTCCGGGGATTGCTCGGAATAACTGTCATATCCATTTTGCCCCCTGGGGCAGGCTGGGTGCTGTGCAGCCAGCTGGGATGGTGCAGGGACAGGAGGCTAAATGGATAGTGCCCTGATTGTTTGCCCGAGCTGGGAAGGCCTCCTTCGGGAGTTTCTCAACTGCTGTTGAGGCAAGGAATTTCCCCGGACATCTTCCTTGGACCTACACTCATTTGCCCATGTCTTTCTCTCTTACAGTTCGGGCATAGTCCAGGTTGTTTGGGACCTCTGCCATTTCCTTTATTAATCCCTTTGTTAGAGGGGCACTGCCTTGCCACGTGCCCTGTCCCTCCACAGTGAAACTCCTGTGAGTTTGACTTTCCCTTTGCTAAGCTGTTGCTGAAGAATTCCTTCAATGGTGGTTCTCTTCAATGCGGCCGCAATAGCGGCTCCTTGCATATATGAGGGGCCAGTGTCTGCGCAAATGCGGATATAATCTGAGAGAGTTCCTTTTTTTTTTTCTTTTTTTAAAATATATTTTATTGATTTTTTTCCAGAGGGAGGGAGAGGGACAGAGAGCTAGAAACAACGATGAGAGAGAAACATTCATCAGCCACCTCCTGCACACCCCCCACTGGGGATGTGCCCGCAACCAATGTCCATGCCCTTGACTGGAATTGAACCCAGGACCCTTCAATAAGCCGACGCTCTATCCACTGAGTCACACCGGTTTCGGTTCCTTCAGGGTTTTAAAGGAAAGGGGTCATAAGTACGCTCACGCTGTCCCTTGTTAGGGTTCACCTGTTCCTTAACGGGAAAGGCATGAAGGCCCAATTCCTCACCACTTTTTCGTGCCTCCTGCAGAGCCATCTGGAGAGGGGAAAGTGGAGCTGGTGCTGCCCGAGGCAGCGGGGAACGGCGGGGACTGCCCCTACGGCATCTCTTCTTCTTGCCAAGAAGCTTTAATGCTTCTAAAAAGTGTTGTAATGCATCTTCCAAACAAGCCTGGGAACACTGTGGGAAAGGGTCTGAAATTTTTTTTTTTTTTAATATATTTTGTTGATTTTTTACAGAGAGGAAGGTAGAGGGATAGAAAGTTGCCTCCTGTACACTCCCCACTGGAGATGTGCCCGAAACCAAGGTACATGCCCTTGACCGGAATCCAACCTGGGACCCTTCAGTTCGCAGGCCGACGCTCTGTCCACTGAGCCAAACCGGTTTCACTATTTGTATTATCTTTGAAGTTGTGCCTCTGGCAATGACGATATGTGAGAGAAAGTGTGCTTCAAAGAATTATATGGAGCAGGTAGTGAAAAGTGATGGCCTCAGCACCCTGGATTGAGATTGGAAGTGTAAAGTGTAAAGCCATGTTTTTTTGTGTCTTAGAGGGACAGTCCAGGGCACTGCCAGGGGGATGCCTGATAAGACCAGTGTCAAACCACTCACACTCTCTTGATGGCCCACAACTCTCCCTCCCTATGTTCCTGACAAGCACTTATTGACCAGACCCAATGTGAGGCCCAGAGCACAGGTATCATCAATCAGCTTATCTACCTTATGGTCATGGGAAAGCACAGTATCTGTAGGAATACAAAGAGAGACTGACTTGGAAGACCTGGTATATTTTCGGATGTTGGGAGTAGAGGGGTGCGCTAAATTGGGAGGATGATGACTGTGAACTCCTAGGAGATAAGCTGACCATGGACTGAATTGTCTCCAATATGCCAGAACATGAACTTTGCGGACGTGGCCATCGCCTTCTCTCTGGAGGAGTGGGAGCTCCTGGATGAGGCTCAGAGACTCCTGTACTGCGATGTGATGCTGGAAGTGTTTGCACTGGTCTCATCTGTCGGTAAGCCCTTCACATCTCTCCTCGTGCCCTGAGGTGACATCCTCTCTTCCTGTATTCTCTACCCGTCACTCTCTCTCTCCCACGTAGCCAGTCCATGGACTCTGCTACCCCCCACTTTCTTGTCAACTGAGCTGCAGCTGCCAGTGCTGAGCTGTGTGGAGAGCCCTGAGGAATGGACTTCACAAGCATCCCTAGAACCCATCGTCTCCCAAAGTGCAGAAAGTGTCTGGGAATCAGGAGTTCTACAGACAGATCAATAGGTTCACCTTGCTCTTCCTTTTCCTGGGAGGTTTACTATGTCCACATCCATGGCTTTCACTTTTGTCCCTTCCCTCAAGGTTAGGGTCCTTGGTGACTGCCTGAGCCAGGTTTTGGTCTTTTCTTATAATACATGAACCATGAACAGTTCTTCTAAGGCCCTCCGTCAATTATTATCTGTAATATTCTTTCATCAAATACTATTGCATGCCAAGCTCTGGGCCAGGGCTTGCTGCTCACTTCTGTTGTCCTTCATGAATATTCAGAATATTTAGATTCCAGGTATTTGTATGATAGAAGGTACTATGAGAACATGGTGTTTTCTCCTGATGAATATGCACAATGGACTCAGAGAAGGCTGGGCACTTCTGAGTGGCAACTGGGGGAAGGTATGGTACCAGTGCTGTGCTCAGATCATACCTCAAGTCTCTCCTGGCAACACTGTTTAAGTGCAGGCGTAGGTGCCACTGGCCACTACTCATTTCTTCCTTTTATTTCTCAGTCTTGACAGTTTGCTGACTTGTCATTTCATCAGACTGTTGGCTACCTTCACCTTTTGTTACCTTTTTACATCACCTGTTCCTCTACACTGCTGTCTGTGCAGTGTTCACAAACACTGTCCTGCACTTATGTTGTGAGGGGCAAACACACTGAGTGGCCAGGTTATTATGATCTCTGAATGCATAATCTGGCCACTCAGTGGATTTGTATCTCAAATGGGTACCAAAAGTATTCTAGACTTTTGCTGGAGATGAACCACCTATTTGCCCTGAGCTTTCTATCAGCCAGTGCAAAGTGCAAAACTGATCAGATGCACAATTTATAGTATCTTTGATATCAAATAAATGAGGTACTCAAGAGAAGTACACTGAGTGGCCAGTTGTTATGAATTCAGAGATCATAATAATCTGGCCATTCAGTGTGTATGCGTAACTAGTCCTCCAACACCAGATGCTAATTTCCAATTTAACTTGGAAACAGACATAATTATCCTCCTGCACAGCCATCCCATGGCACCAGCAGAGAAGCACAGGTGGACACTCTTAGCAGAACAACGAGCAGGAGATTCTGCTTCTCTTCCATGTGATGTTTGCCATCTTTTTGTCATATTTCTGGTGAAGTCTTTTCTAGTTTGTTAGCTTCAGAAGCCCATAATTTTACAGCGACCTCTTATTAAGCTTTCCTGCAGATCTCTTATTTTGAGACAATTGCAAGGAAACAGTGTAGTATGGGGAAAACATTTTTGTATTATAACTTTCCCCTGATACCACAGTGAATATTCTTTCTTTCTTTCTTCCCTTCTTTCTTTTTTTTTCTTTTTTTTTTTTCTTACCATTCTCTGTTTTTAGGTTGTTGGCATAAAATGGAAGATAAGGTGAAACATTCTGAGCAGAGTGTATCTCTACAAGAAGAGTCACAAGTCAGGTCTTCTGAGACAGCTCCTGCTACTCAGACGACCCATCTCTGTAAGAATTGTTTCTCAGTGTTGAAAGACATTCTGCACTCGACTGAGTCACAAGCAGCAGACTTTGAGCAGAAAGCCTTCTTCAGTGATGCATGTGTGAGAGGCTTCTGTTTCAGTGCAAACCCTCATGAGCAGCAGAGGGTTTCTGGTGGAGAGAAGCCTTGGAAAGGAGCTATGGACAGGCCCTCGTTTGTGAACAGGTTCAGCTTGCACTTAACATGGGTGCCTTCAATGAGTAGGGAGGTTGGGAAAGTCTTTCCTGCCATCTCAGATCTTCCACAGATCCCAGCAACTCTCAAGACTGAGGAGCTACAGAGTAGCAGTGAGATTGCACAGGAATTTCTCAGTGGAAAATGTCACCATCATTGGGGTGTATGTGAAAAAGCTGCCAGTAGCAACCAGAAAGTTGTTCAACATCAGGGCGTCTGCTCTGGAGAAGTGAATTTTGAGGGTAACAAATGTGGAAAATGTTTTCGATGCATCATGAACCTCAATCAAAAAAGGGAAATTTACACTGGAGAAAATCCCTATGAATTTACTGATTATGGGAAGTTCTTCAGACAAAGCTCTATCCTCATTCAACACCACAGAGTTGACACTGAAGAAAAATCGTGTGAGTGCAGTGAATGTGAGAAATCTTCTAGCTGCAAAACTAGCTTGGTTACACACCAGAGAGTTCATACTGGAGAAAATCCAGCTGAGTGTAGTGACTGTGGGAAGTCTTTTAGGTCCAATAGTCAACTTCATAAGCACAAGAGAGTTCATACTGGAGAGAAGCCATATGAGTGTACAGATTGTGGGAAGTCATTTAGGTGTAGCTTTAACCTAGTTCAACATAAGAAAATTCACACTGGAGAAAAGCCCTATGAATGTAGTTACTGTGGAAAATCTTTTACGCGAAATGCTCACCTCCTTAACCACAAGAGAGTTCATACTGGAGAGAAGCCATATGAGTGTACAGATTGTGGGAAGTCCTTCCGTCGTAGCTCAAGCCTCATTCAACATCAGAGAGTTCATTCTGGAGAAAAGCCCTATGAGTGTGGTGATTGTGGGAAATCTTTTAGGTTCATTAGTTACCTTTATATCCACAAGAGAGTTCATACTGGTGAGAGGCCATATGAATGTGATTATTGTGGGAAGGCTTTCATTGATAAGTCTGCCCTCATTCTCCACCACAGAGTTCACAGTGGAGACAAACCTTATAAATGTAGTGAATGTGGTAAGTCCTTCAGTGAAAGATCTGGCTTAAATAAGCACCACAGAATTCACACTGGAGAAAAGCCATATGAGTGTAGTGATTGTGGGAAATCTTTTAGGTCCAATACTCACCTTCATATCCACAAGAGAGTTCATACTGGAGAAAAGCCATATGAGTGTACAGATTGTGGGAAGTCCTTCAGTCATAGCTCTAACCTCCTAAAACACCACAGAGTTCACACTGGAGAAAAGCCATATGAGTGTAGTGATTGTGGGAAATCTTTTAGATTCAATAGTTACCTTCATATCCACAAGAGAGTTCATACTGGAGAGAGGCCATTTGAGTGTGGTGATTGTGGGAAAGCTTTCATTGATAGATCTATCCTCATTCGCCACCACAGAGTTCACAGTGGAGACAAGCCTTATGAGTGTAGTGAATGTGGTAAGTCCTTCAGTGAAAGATCTGGCTTAAATAAGCACCACAGAATTCACACTGGAGAAAAGCCATATGATTGTACAGATTGTGGCAAGTCATTCAGTCGAAGCTCTACCCTCATTAAACATCAGCGAGTTCACACTGGAGAAAAGCCATATGAGTATAGTAACTGTGGGAAGTCATTCAGTCAAAGCTCTACCCTTACTCAACACCAAAGAGTTCACAGTGGAGAGAAGCCTTAAATGTGCATGAAATGTGTTATTTTTCTCACTTAGAATAACATCACCGAAGGTGATTCCTTGGGACCTATTTATATGAATATAATCCCCTTTTAAGAGAACAAACACCATGCTATTGTAGATTCTTCATAAGTTTCATGTGTAAGTGAGGCTTGAAGGACCTCCATTGCACTAGCTAACATGCCCAGACCTACCCCCTTGATATCACTGTGAGTGTTTGTGGCTGAAGAGATTTCACCTCTGACACCTGGTTCACCTGAGAAGTGTGCACCCATCACCACCGGGAGTGCTCAGGGGAAATGTCTTCTATGTTTCTCCTGTCCTTGAGAAAAGTATGATTACTCTGAGCTCTTGACAGCATCTTCATTCCTATATCTCGGACTAGAGAATGAAACTGACCCAGGGGTCATCCAGAGCACCCATTCTCAGCTACGAAGTGTCATCTCTTTCAGGAACATGGTTCTCACATTATGCTGTGATGAATTGCTTCAGCCTCTAAGTCACTCTACTGCAATCCTCTCTTCTGGTTTATGATACTTGTGTGTATGTGTGTTTGTATCTATAATTTTGATCTTTCTGTAGACTCCCTGGGGTAATTTGAAAGGAAAGTTGTGATCTTTCTCGATGGAGATGTAAACAGATATGGTGGGGTCCCAAATTCTCTGCATTTGAAGACACACCATACTGACAGAAAACCATTTCTTGTTCAATATTGGCTTTTAATCAATCTACATTCCAAAATATTGAGAGAAAGACTGCCTGACTTTATGGCTCTAATTTTGAGCCTGGTGCCTCTATTATTGGTGCTGTCAGTGGTCACCTAGAAAAGGAGGCTTTTGTAGTGCTTCTGTGAACAACACGAATTATATTCTCTGTTCACAGTATGGATTTCACAATTCTCAGCAATGTTTAGGGGGCTTCGTTCCACATAGTGTAAAGCAGCATGTGCCATAATGTATAAGATTTCATAGGCTGGTGCCTTTTGTTTTAAGACACTGAGGTTTATATTGAACTACAATTAGTAAGAAACACTGTTCATAGTGCTTGGGAAAGACGAGTAAATCTGATAAAGAGTGCCTCTTCTCAACCTTATCCAGAAATGGTTTGGGGCTAGGGCTTTGCGATTTTTGTGAATGATGTTCTCAGGACCTCCATCACTGCTGCTTGTGGCTGAAATAATTGCCAGAAAAAAATAATGGAACAGTTTTTTGGATTTCCTTCGCCTATCTAGTGTGTTCACCACAGGATTTGCTCAGCAGGCAAGACCTGAAAGCTAGAGGAAGGAAAATTAATCACTCCAGGATGTATTTTTAAAAATATATATTTTATTGATTTTGTACAGAGAGGAAGGGAGAGAGATAGAGTTAGAAACATCGATGAGAGAGAGTCATCGATCAGCTGCCTCTTGCACACCCCCTACTGGGGATATGTCCGCAACCAAGGTACATGCCCTTCACCGGAATCGAACCCGGGACCTTTCAGTCCCCAAGCCGACGCTCTATCCATTGAGCCAAACTGGTTTCGGCAGGATGTATCTTTTTTAACTGAGTCAACATGCCTGTTGATTCTGATGGTAATAGACTTGACTGCTTGACAATATTTTCTGCTACTGAGGCAAGGCTAGTCCTCTTAGAAAGTTAGGAAAGAGGTGGTAGAGGCCATATAGGGTTGATATTTTAATTTCCTATTAAGAGGAAATATCTAGGTCTTTATTTTTCATTTATTTATTTTTAAAATATATTTTATTGATTTTTTACAGAGAGGAAGAGAAAGGAATAGAGAGCTAGAAACATCAATGATAGAGAATCATCGATCAGCTGCCTCTTGCACACCCCCTACTGGGGATGTGCCCGCAACCAACGTACATACCCTTGACCGGAATCGAACCCGGGACCTTTCAGTCCGCAGACCGACGCTCTACCACTGAGCCAAACCGGTTTCTGCAATATCTAGGTCTTTAAATATATATATATTTTATTGATTTTTTACAGAGAGGACGAGAGGGATAGAGAGTTAGAAGCATCAATGGGAAAGAATCATTGATCAGCTGCCTCTTGCACACCCCCTACTGGGAATGTGCCCACAACCAAGGTACATCCCCTTGACCGCAATCGTACCCCGGACCCTTCAGTCGCAAGCTGATGCTCTATCCACTGAGTCAAACCGGTTTTGGGTCTAGGTCTTTATTTGAAAGTACATTTAAGGCTTTATTCCAGTGCCGCTATAACCGAATGTAACAAAATGCACTTTTTTCATATGTACAATTTTGTGAGCTTGCACATAGGGATCAAGCTGTAAATCCATCACTTGTGAAATAAAGATATCTCTCATCCACATACAGGTTATGGCAAAAGTAGGCTTAGAGATGTGACTCTGCAAAACTAAAGAGTTTATTCTCATTTATAAAAATAAGTATATATTTTTTAAATTTATTGACTTTTTAGAGACAGAGGGAAGGAATTGGGATATGGAAAAGATGCAGCTAACTACTGCCTCCTATATACCACCTACAGGGCATGCAGGCAGGAGTGGAACCTGTGAGTTTTAGGGCAAGGGATGGTGCCAAACCAACTGAAGCACACTGGCAGGGAAGTGTTCCTTCTTGTATTTATTAATTATTGTATTAATTGCCACACCAACAACTCCACCTACTTTTACCACATTCTGTATTTTCCTACTGCCCTATTATAATCTCTTTCTTGGCCCTCCATGCAGTCATGGATTTTCCTTACAGTAAAATAGTTCATATTGTTTATAAGCATAAGTTGTGTAGTCTTTAACAAATACTGATTTCCTCCTTGCTCCACAGTTATTTTGTGATAAAATACTAATGTTTATGTGGGTAGTTAAATTTTTTATTGCTGAGTAGTACTGTGTTGTACGGATATTGACTTTATATTTTGGTCTATTTATGGCATTGGTTATTTCCAGATTTGGGCTATTATAAATAGATGTGTTGGTAATATTGCTTTTTGTTCTCTATATAGATGTATGTCTTACTTCTCAAACTGTTGCCATGTATGTGAATGTTTATACAGAACTGTGACCCAAGAGGGTCATTCTCTTTGTCTTCCTACTAATTCTCAGTAAATAAAAATTCCAGATTTTTGCTATCTTGCCAGCACATACAGTGGTTATCTTAAAAAAAAATACATTTTATAGATTTTTTTTTCTTTTTTGTATAATACTTGGACATTTTAATGGAACTTCCCTCCACGTAGCTTCAAGCTACCAGGACACAGGCCCCACCAACACCCTTAATCTCCTCGGCTCTTCTGCTGAAGAACTTGGCCTTCACAATGATAGGCTGCTTTGGGAGCTTTCCCTTCCCCAGAACTTTGTAGTAGCCCGATCGCACCACATCAATGATGGGAGCAACTCCAGTCTTGCTTTTGGCAGCATTTACCCGCGTCTGCTCACTGACCAGGGTCCACAGTTTATCAAGGTTGACAGTTGGGCAGAAGCGCTGGTTCCTCTTTAAGTGGAAATGCCTCATACCAGCTTTCCCAAAGTAACCTGGGTGATATTTGTCGAAGTTGATCCTGTGATGATGCAAGCCACCAGCATTACCGCGGCCCCGGGGTGCTTTCTGTGCTTGCCGATGCGGCCGTGGCCGTGGCTCACGTGGCCCCGAAGTTTTCGGGTCTTCCTGAGTCTGGATGGCATGTCGGTGGCTGAGCTGCCCATTTTATTGATTTTTTTACGGAGAAGAAGGGAGAGGGATAGAGAGCTAGAAACATCAAAGAGAAAAATCAATGAGAGAGAAACAGATCAGCTGCCTCCTGCACACCCCACTACTGGGGATGTGCCCGCAACCAACGTACATGCTCTTGATGAGAATCAAACCTGGGACCCTTCAGTCCACAGGCTGATGCTCAATCCACTGGGCCAAACTGGTTTCGGCAAAATATATATTTTTAATACGTATTTTTTATTGTTGATAATGTTACAAATGTCTCAGATTTCCCCCATGTGTATGTTCTTTGGAGGATCTTTCCCAGTCCTCTCCCCTCCCCTGGGAGGTCCGTCGGTCTGTCCCAGGTCACCAGGCCTCTGGGCCCCTCTCCTCCCTCCCCAGCCCCACTGGCAGCCCCACAACTCCTTGGTCCTCAAGTTCCTGGGCTGGAAAGCCAGCCCGCTCCTGGGCGGCTGAGAGAACTACATTTCCCAGAAAGCAATGCGACTGTGCAGGGCCTTTGGAGCCAGTGCATCCGGTTAGGGCGGGACTTCCGCTGTCTTCTTCCTGGCGGACATTTTGACTTCCTCAATCTGTTCACTGGCTCAGGGGCTTCACCGCGCCGATCGCCAGAAGGAGGAGGCGTGGGGGGCGGCGTCCCGCCGGGCAGGTGTCTGAGGCGGGGGGCCCCCACCCGGCGGGACTGGGTCCCCGGGCCCCGCCTCCTCCCGCGGACAGAGCGCCCTCAGCGGCCCCGGCGGCCCTCCCGCCTCGGGGCGGCGCCGCTCAGGCCGCAGCCCAGGCCGCCGCCCGGAGCAGTGAGTGCCCGTGGGGGCCGCAGGGGCGGGCGGGGCCCGGGAGGCCGGGGCGGAGGGGGGCGGCCGGCCTGGGTGTCTAAAGGGACAGGGGCTTCCGGGAGGAGCCTGTCCTCCTCAGGGCCGGGCTGTGGGCTGAGGTCAGGGCCTCCCACTGCGGGGGCCTCAGGCTGTGGGGCCTGGGCTGTCCAGCCGCTCTCCTCGGGGGACCTTGGACCTGGGGACCTGGAAGGGACACCAAGCCCAGAATGCTAAGCCCAGGTCAAGGGTCATGTGATTGGGACCTGATTGTGTCAGCCAGTGGAATTGTGGGTGATGGGGCCTTCCATGCATTGATTCCAGAATGTGCCAAGGCTTGAAGTGAACACTAAGCTGATTGAGGGACCAGCAGGTGTCCACTGTTTAAAAATTGGAACTGGAAACAGTGAGACAGGAATCCAGTCCAGAGAAGCTTTGTGACAACATGAATTTCTGTTCTGCTGGCGGTGGGGTCATTGGGCTCGTTGGAGCAGAAGAGCAGGGGATGTGTCCCAGGTCTCATTAGACTCCTGTGACTGCAGCATGAGGCACAGCATGGGTGTGAGGACGCGGGTAGGAAGACTACAATGGAAGCTGCTGTGATGGCCTTGGTGAGGGGGATGGTGACGGGAGCACAGTGGAGGTTGTGGATGTGGAAGAAGCAGTTGTCTTAGGGATCAGTGATTTAGGTGTGGCCACCTGGATTTTCTAATTTTGAGGATTGGGGAGAGGGGTAAGAATTAGAGATGATGTAAAGGTTTGATTTAGCACCTGAAGGTATAAAAGCACTGTCAACTGACATGGAGAAATTCATAGTGGGAAAAGTAATGTCCATGAGGAACATAAAATCTTTTGTTTTTTCCTATTAGATATTTCAGAGTACAGTGAATGACTAAACTCTGAGGAGTAGTTCAAGATGAAGACTACTTAAAAAAGTAGTAAAGAGTATGGAGCAGGGAGGAGTTGTAGATCACCTTTTTATTTTATTTTATATATTTATTTTATTTTATTTTATTTTATATTTATTGGAGGTAGAAAAGTAATTCAAAAAAGGTGAGATGTGGCTGGTGCATTTTGGTTCTTAATCACTCACCAGGATTTTTTGTGACCGTTTGTGTGACCTGGTGTGTTGCATCCAGTTTGATTGATTTGCTTATGGGCCTGAATGGACATCTGTGGGACTCACTGGGCATGGGACAGAGGGCCATAGGCGGTGGGACTTGAGTACTGAGGGCTGTGAGTGGAGAAGGGACATCAAGTGCAGCAGCAGTAGACGTGGGCTCTGGATAACTGAGTTGATTGGTTCTCAGTAGGCGAGGTAAGTATAGTCAGGGTAGTACTTCATACTGTTTGAACTTGTCATGCATCCTCTGGAACACACATGCTGAGTAATGACTAAGACCAAGGAGATGTCTGTGGGAGCTGGGCTATGGGAGTGCAGGTGTGTGGGAGGGTGTGGGAGAAGGAGTGATGTGCTTTTGAAGAGGGAGTGTGAATGCATGGCCACAGATCCCTGATGTCATAGAGGGACTGGGGTTGAGTCCATTTTTTGTGATACATGGATGATAAAACATGGAGAATTTTAGGGTAATTTCTGAAAGACCGGTGTTGTGGCGCTCCATGCCAGGTCCAGAATTTAGGTGTCACACAGGTGCACACCTGCCTGTTGTTGGGCTGTTACAGTGATCAATAGGAATAGGATAGCATTTGTCAGTGTCCTGGGCGTGAAAGACTTGACTGGGGCCGGCTGGCTGCTGGCTCGAGGCAGTGGGAAGCATAGCCTCAGGCCCAGCTCCAGTGGGTATTTGTGAACGCTGTTGGCTGAATGGGCACCCTGTGCCTTCTGCATGCCTCGCTGTCCCAGTGCGTGCTCCTGTT